ACTCCAAAAAATATAGAATTTCTCTAGTTACGACAATATTTTCCAAGTAGCAACAACAACTGATCACCTACACTACCTGAGCAAAATCTATGCAAAACTTTAACCATAGGTCTCAAAGAATCATAATCTTTACCTAAAACTTGCCAATAACATCTTAGAGCTGAGAATGTACAAATTTTAATTGATGGCACTTAAAAAGATTCATAACCTTTCCCCTAGAAATCAGACAGTAAAAGGTCTTAAGGTGACGATCTCGTCCAAAACACAGGTAGCTAAACCTCAGAGCATAGCCAAGAACATAGGCTAATATTTCATGAGTTAACGTAAAAACCCCGACTAAGTATACTAGTCAAAAATTATTGAAAGCATATATGTCAACAGTAGTGGATACACAACGTCCAACACGCACACTAAGCTAATTAACACATACCCTAGAGTAAGGAAGTGTGTAAAAAAGAATTACAGTAGAAATGCTGAATAACCCTAGCCTAAAGATATCACAAGTTACTTCAAAATACAAAAAAGCATTTATATACAAAGTTCAAATCAAAATACACAGTTCTTGGTTATTGACAACCAATATGTTTTATTGTACATATAATACAAGGGAGTGCAGATACATTACAAAATGAACAAAAAGGGACAAACAAAGATCCGTCCCTAGAGTTTGAGGAAGAGCTTCCTAGACCTAGCCTACGACAAAACAGGAAGAAGCTGTCCTAATCCAGCTCTTCCAAATGAAAGTGGCCTGCAAAGTCTGTCTCAGCAAGGGACGAAGAGGAAATATCCACCTCTTCGGCTCTTCTCGAGAAGTGGACAGGATCCGAGGCTTCAGGTTCTCCAAAAGTTGTGGAGCGACCAACTAACTGCTTCCCTTTTCAAGCCCAAGGGCCTCACACGCCTTTTGAACACCTTGGATCCTGCTGGCAAATTACGCACTCTCGAGAACCTTATCAATTAAGTGGACCACCACTTTTCCAACATCCATTGCTAGCTTCCTCGGGCAACATTACCGTCAACCCAGGGACGGGCCAGTTGACGTTGGCACCGGGCCAACTCACTCGCTAAAACACCCTTCCCTCAAGTTAGAGAACGCACTTCATTTTCAAGTCACTCCGCTTGGCCTTCCAGTGTGGCCACATGATCTTCCAAAGCGGTCTTCTTGCAAGCCACAATGCAATTTTGCTCGGATAGTGTTGTGATATGTCGGAGAATGGATGGGTCGAGATTATCGACGAATCTTGATGAAATGACATCCCCTGATATCACAGTACAAAACATGATAGATATTGTTAGTCGACGTCTAGGAGGGGTCCTCGAGACGAAGCTTCGATGATTTAGTTAGTGTGAGATCTAAGAGAGATGGTAAGTTATTACAGAAAAGAGAGAATTTTGTCCCCTCTTCGTGAGGAAGAAGGTTCCATTTATACATGTCTTAAAGGATTATCTCTCAACTGATTCTATCGAGGATTCTCTCGTGAGGTGCGATGTGGCGGACCCATACTGGAGGGTCCTCCGTCACGTCTTTTTCCTATTTCTCCCACTAGTTGGAAGGAGATCTTCCAAATGTTCACGCAGATCGTGGATATCGTCTAATGAGTGAATGTGACTCTCTAATTGGTCCCACATTTTCTAGGGTATGATTTTACGGAGAAGGGGTTAAGGCGTGGCTCTGCACGTTAACCACCTTATCAGCGCCCCTCTTGTTGGTGACAACCCGGATATGGTTGTAGACTGGGTTCTAACCAGACCAAGCCCGGTGTCAGTTTGACTTTCCTTTTGAATTTTCGTAGAGGGATACGTTAATAAGTCCTTAGGCTTGTAGGCGTATGCGTCAGTATGACAGCATCACTATTCAAGCCTATATCTTGACATGTATATACCTGGGATTAGTTTTATCATTTGACGGGCCATAGACAATGCCAGTAATGTATCAGATTCACCGTGAGACCGCTCATGACACCAATTTTTTCTTTAAAATACCACCTTTTCCCAAGACCTTTCTCCCTTACCTTCTTCACCCACGTTGTATCTGTCTGGGTATTCTAAGAATTTTTCTTTCTGATCACTTATTTTTTCCTCGATAATGGGCCGTTACGGTAGAGTCCCTACTGCGGAGGAGTTCCAATTTCTACATGGTCGCTTTGGTTTCTTACCAGAGCATGGTGTAATGATTCCGGCGAAGGGAGTATCAATCTACGATCGTCCTCCAGTGAAAGTTGTGGTTCATATTCCTTTGTTTGAAGCGGGGATGCACCTGCCGACATCAGAATTTTTCGATATGATCGTGCTACATTACAATTTTACTATCAACGAGTTAACCCCGAGCGTTATCAACAAGATCATCGGTTTTGAACTGATCTGTCACTCTTTGGGTCGCATTCGCACCTACTGAGTTTTCAGTTACTTTTTTTTTCATCTATGAACTCCGACATCCGTGCCCTAGCTAAGCAACGAGTCATTTACCAGCTACTCTCTAAGCTGGATACTTCGATGAAGAACTGGCAAAGGCAATGGCTTTGGCTCAACCAGAACCTTGTGGGGCATGGGTATCATAGGAAACTAGACTTTTCTGACCGTCTTCCCTAGTTTTTTGGGGGCAACCTAACTCGCGGCAAATGGCTTGGGAGTATTACTGTCTGTGGAGAAAACTGGGAAGACTTTATTCTTGCCGCGGCCGGTACGAGTGCCACCTGGAGGGCTCGCAAGATGTTTGTGCAGATGTTTGTCATGAGATGCGGTATTAACTCATCTCCCCCCCCCCCCCCCCCCCATTTTTTTTTAAATTAGAGTGACGATAAGATATCTTGTTGGCTTGTGATATCTTACTTTTGGTGTTTGCTTTCATAGGTGGCAGACGCTGAGATTTCTTTGGAGATGACCCTGTGTGGTCATTATCAGCACTACTAGAAAAACAGTCTTTTATGACGCTCATTGCGCGTCGTAAAACGCTTACACGACGTGCAAATGCGCGTCAAGAAAAGCCCTCTCATAAAGAGAGACGACGCGCATTTACGATGCGCATTTCTGACGCGCATTTACAACGTGTGGTTATGACACGCAATGCGTATCAAGGAAGGCTCTGTCATAAAGGAAGACCACACGCATTTGCGTGTCGTAACCTTATGACGTGCGTATTTATGACACACAATGCGTATCAAGGAAACCCGTATCAAGAAAAGCCATGTCATAAATGAAGATGACACACATTTTTGCGTATCATAATTTTAAATGTTCTAAAAAAATATATTTATTTATTTATTAATTTTTAAATTAAATTTGCATTTAATGTCTCATAATAGAAATAAAATATCATATACAAAAAATACAATCTATTGCATAAAATTTAATGTCATACAATTCTATTTTTTACAGTAACTAAATTTGCATCTAATCTACTATGTATATCAATTTCCAACTAAGTAAAGTTGTATCTTGCCTTTCATAATTTAAGACTAATAATCCAAGCAGTTGATTATATGGATAAGCAGTTGTACATTGGCCCATCTCACTAAAGAATGACTTAGCCAAATTCAACTCCAAGTCTTTACTTGCATCTTGCTGATAATGTTGCAAGAACCATTTGTTAGCTCTACAACACTTTTTGAATATAAACCTTGTCTTTCATCACTAACACCAGCACCTTTTGTAGCCCCTAGGACTAGTGGACTACACATAAAAGTTAGAAAAACTAAATATTCCAAAAATACCCCTAGGACTCTTTGGACTCTTTTTGTCCCAGAATCTGAATTAGACCACAAGTGATGCTTCGATTTATTTGTTTCTTGCAACTTCAACATGAAGTGTTTTGATGTTGTATGTGTAAAGTTTCACACTTTACAGGAGATTCTTGGGGAAGGAAAGAAGGTTAAGCTTGAGCAGAAGGTAATTTCATATCATATTCTTTTGTGTTTTAAGGGTTAAACAAATCATTTCAAGATTTGAAAATTATTAAAAAAATGTTATAATTGTAGAAAACAAATTGATAACCTTCTAAAATCTTGGGAGCTAAAATATATCCATTTAAAACAATGAAAAATGTGATTTTGTTTTTGTTTTCAATGTTGACTTAGTAGGAAGAGATGAAAGTTTGATATACTAAACAAATCACTAAAAGTAGGTTGCTATTGACACACTTCCAAAATGCAGCAACCTAAATTCACATAAAAATTTGTTAAAGTTATAATGGGATGGAGCAACTTCACATTTCAAATTGGAAAAACACATCACCAGACTCTGGCACAAGCCAATAGCATAGGGTGATCTCCTCTCCAAACTTGTCAACAATTGTCTCAAGTGTAAACACCAGACCCGCATTTTCAACTTCATTTATTAGCTTGAAAAAAAAAATCTGAAAACAAACCATGTGTTGTAATGTAAGCCATGAATCAGTACAACTTCTTTTTCTGCATATATACAACTGACTATGTAGCCACATGCTTCCATTTATATATTTATTTATTATAACATCATACATTCATAGCTACTTTCATATCTTTTTAGTACATACAGGATTCTACTTCCAATCTTTCTGTTATGAGCATCTCCAATGGAAGGTTATTTTATACTATTTCAACAAGTCTTTGTTGACAATTGGAGTGGAAAACGTTTTTTGGTATTTTATCCAACCATTTCAGTAATTTTTTAAACTTAGTTAAATTTGAGTAATAAATCTATTTTTTTAAATATGCAAAAACAAATTGAACATTTTTTGTATTAGAACTACATACATGATCAATATCAAATGACATGTGCTCAAAAACAACAAATTAGATAAGGGGTCTTCAAACAATATTTCAAATAGATGCGGATACACATGTAATTGTTAAAAAAAAAAAAAAGGTTTTGCATTGGAGATGATATGTAAAGATAGGTTTTTTAAATAAATTGTATATGTGTGAAAGAAAGAAAGAAAGCACAATATAAAAGAAGATCAGTTAAACTAGTTGTGCATTTTAACTTCGCAGGATTCAACAAAAGAACGCAATGCAAAAACAAAATCAACATGAACATGTTGTCCTGCAATCTTCTGGATCCATGGTGCTGCCCTGAGATGCACTGTCAGATTCCAGTTCATGATGGGTCCCACCGTTTTCTTCTTCCATACCATTTGCAACAACAACCTGACCATTGACCGTGGAGGAGCTGCCCGACATGCTTCTTGGCTTTTCCTGCTCTGTGTGGTGCTTCTCACCTGACCGTTCATGTTCCTCCAGCTGAACCAGAGTAGCATCAGCTTCTTCAATGGTGGAATAACGAGTCATGTTTGGACGTAAATCACCAAACAAATCCTACACGTACATTCCTCTTCAATTATTAATACAACAATTTTTAAATAAGAAATAAAAGAAAGTGAGTTTAATTAAAAGACCAAACAACCAAATAACCTGCAAGTCAAATTCGATATCTAGAGGAAGTGGACCTTTGTAGAGTATGTAACGTTGATCACATTCAATAGGTCATATCATACATTCGTGCCGACAACGAGTTTGCCAAGATTAGACAGCTTTTTCATTGGTTCCTTATATGAATTATGATGAGCAAACACGAAATCAAAATCAACAGGATGAGAATTAGAGCTCCTTATTGTGTTATCTCTCTTCTCTGAGCTTCTTTTGTTCGACGGACGGAGGTCAGGGTGGTTCAGGCAGATCTGCATAGGGTGGTTCAAACCTAAATACCATATGATGTATCTGTTTTTATTTTCCTTGATATATTTTGTATAAAGTCCTTTTATATCTTTGGTTGTTTTTATAACTAAAAACTAATTGTATCATTCAGGCAACAGTTGCGTATTATCAGCTCTTTGATAACCAGTCTCGTGTTGCTAGTGGGTATTTTGGAGTTGAACTTGCAGAGAATCTGGTGCGTCATTTTCATTTTCCTGCTTACAGATTTGTAATATATTTTATGTTTATATAAAAAAAAGGAACTTTGCATCTGCATTGATGACAATGGCAAAAGGGTAATTTTAAAGATTAAATGCAAGAAATAAATAACAGGGCAAAAAGGTAGATGGTTAGTGTTATAATTCTTTAAGCTAGATTTTTTTTTTACTTAACCCCTTAACTCATTATGTCCAGATTAACTAAAAAAAGAAACAACCCCTAAGAAGAGTCTTGAAAGTGTAATCTTCTATTAAGAAACAAAGTTAAAGAAGAATGCTATAATCTGGTGCAGGAGGGTGATCTTGCTACCATGCATCTAGATAACATACCATACAGAGCTACAATGAACATGTTTACTAGAAATAACTCAGTCAGGCCTACCTTACCTGGTGAAAGAAAATGGCAAGTTGGAATGCAGGTGTGCATAATGAAACTATGTCTTTTACATTATATTATATATATTAATATAGTCAATAGATAGTGTCATCCACAAGTTTTTTTGGTTGATTTTTGAAGATTCCAGCAAATCCACATGAGATAATGACATGAGTTCTTGAAATCCTGAGAGATTTAAACGTCTGCTGGAAAAAAGATTGGGCTTTATTTAATATTTTTTAAATGATAAATTTGATCATAGGGTATAATTGTCATTTTACCAATATAAACATCATTGTAGCCTGAAAATTTCTCCATTTTTTCCTTTTCATTGACCATTACAACAGAGGAGCCTACTTGTTTCTACCATGCTATATAATGTACACGCATAGCACTAAACAACAATGTGATGTAGTTAAAAGAACACCAAAGAAGCAAATGTAACTTGTCTTTTGGGGTTTGAAGTAAATTTATAAAATTCCCTTTTCTTTTCTAAATTCATTTTCTGATTTTCATTTGTATATACATTTTAGGTACTTACTACACTTGATGCCAAAATATGGAGGGTAGTTTTTGGTGTTATAGACAAAATTTGGGCTAGTGGAGGTGTCTAGCTGACTTAGCTGATCGTCATGATGTAAGTTTTTTTATAAATATATATTTTTCATTAAAGATACTAATAGTTTAATAAATTTTATGATTTAGGTTTATTCAGGGTGAATGTTTGAAAGGTAATATTATCACTTTTTTGTCCTAAAAGAGTCGGTGTTTGATATTTAAGAGTCAAATGTGTAACTTCATAAAAATTTACTAAACTTGCTCCATATAGATGTTGCTAAGCATGGAGATGTTTTTGAACCAGCTCTTTTCACACTATTGATTAAATTGTAAAACAAGTATATGTCAGGTATGTACTAAAATATCCATATATATAGATGTTGCTAAGCATGGAGAAGTTTTTGAACCACCTGCTGCTTCGTTTTCAATTTCAAGCTCGAGATTGAAAGAAGAAGAATAGGGAGAACCATCAAGAACCTGCAACAGAACAAAAAAAGTCTCGTTTTTTTATTAAAACCGAGAACCAGCATTACCTGTTACTACTTCTGATATATAAATCATGGATTACTACAAAATTAAACAGACCTGTTGCTCAAGTATTGCAAAATAAGGTTGGAAACTCTGTCAGGTAAATAGTCACCCATACGCAGCGCATTCAACAAGTTGAGATGACATTCCAAAAATTTTCCCGCGTAGTTCTTCAGGAAGTGTTGTGCAAAAGCTTTGTTCTCTAGGTTTTTCAATTTTAAATCTCCAAAGCTGAGAAAATAGTAAAAAGTAAAAACTTGAGCAAGAAGACAATAAATACATGTCTGAAAGCCAGCCAAAAACAATTTAATTAAAGAAACATCTAAATGATGTGACTAACTACTCACCGGGTATAGAGGCGGTTTAATATATGGCCCGTCCACTTCTTTACCTTCCACCATCCCCATAACTTGCTGAGCTCTGGATCCGCTGGTTGGCCCTATGATAGACCTTTAAAACGTATTACAGGAATAGCTACATTTGTGTTGGATTCTTTCTAAGGCTACAGCCTAGTTACAGGACATTCAATGTCAATACATCATCATAAACGATTAATTTAACCATCTAATTTGTACTAATGAAAAATTCACATATTTGAGTATTTTAGGTCAAAATCATGGTTTTACATTCCACCTCTTGTCAATCTATAACGCAAAATTGAACTTATAACGCATGTATAATCGTATTATCATTTCATTTATTGTACTTATCATACATATACCTCGAATTTATCAATGAGAATCGGCCTACCTTAATAATTTCGCAACTTTTGTCAAGAACACACCATGAATACCACAACTCTTTTCTTCCAATTCAAAGCTTGGTCAAGTGAAAACTGGTCTGGTCCAGCGCAGATGCTGGAAAACAAAACGAAAATTCCTCTGCAATGATGATAGGCTAGGGTTTTAGAAAGAAGAAGAGAGGAAATGTTTTGAGAGAGAGAGAGAGAGAGAAATTCAAAATAAGGTATGTATGATTGTGATCTTCAGAGATGAACGTAAACTTCTCTAAACCATATCTGGGTGAACCCATATCATCTAGAACTGCAAAACAAAGGAAACGATCATTTTTTTCTTCAAGCCCATAATAAGGTTAGTGTATTTTAAAAAGACGTTAAGAACAGTACCACAGCTCCGATGCATCCTCCCCTCAGCCTTAAACTCTCTTCTCTCTCTTTCTGCTCGTTTTTTCTTTTCTTTCCCATTTTCTGTTCGCCACGCACACACACAGACCATCTGGGAAGTAGGACGACAACAACGATGGTGGAGGTGGTAGCCGGCGGTGGCTAGTTTAGGGCTTTTAGAGAATATGAGATATTTTTGTTCAGAGAGAGAAAGTGGAATTGATGGGAATGTAAGGTTCGGTTACTGGATACCAAAATAACCAATGTAAGCTTGAATGAAAGTAGAATTGATGAGAATGTAGAGAGCCCCAAATTGAAACCTTGTCTAGTAGAATCGATTTGAGAGTGACTGTTGGATTTATTGCTTCCCTTTCCCGGTTCGCTTACCCTTTAGTTACCATAGTCAATCGACTCAAGCTTTCACGAAAAACCCTAGGTAGCAACTGATAGAGACAAGAAGGATGGGGAGAAGGTAGGATTGGATCCGATTTCAAAGAGTAATAATAGATTTCACTGAAAACCCTTTCCCGGTTCGCTTGACCTTTGGTTACCTCAGTCAATCGATTCAAACTTTCAATAAAAACCGTAGGTAGCGACTGAGAGAGACAAGATGGAAAGGAAGGAGCGTCGATAATTAGGGCAAGAGGGAAAGGAAGGAGCGTCGATAACTAGGGCAAGCCGACAGTCACTCTCTGGAGGGGGAAAGAAGGAGAATCGTAATTAGGGCAAGAGGGAAACTGAGAACAAAAGTGGAGGATAAAAAAGAAGCGGGTTCTCAAAAATTTTGGGATTTCATTTTCCCCTAATCTACTAAACGCGCCTTTCATTAAATTTATAAAGCGACACTTCTAGAGGACGCCCACTTAAGATACAGCGCCCATCATGTTTTTAATTTTTTTTTCTTATGACGCTAATTTAAGGGCACGCAATAATGCGTGTCTCCTATGCTTAAATTTTTTGAAGAGATGACATTTTTTTTAACGTCACTCTCTTTTGCGTAACATAAATCAACGAGTGTCGTGGTTTGCACGTCGTAAAAGGGTCTTTTTCTTGTAGTGCAGGGCATGCTTTACCATTTGAAGATCGATCTCGTAGAGGTTCTTCCTCCTCCTGTGTTTAAAAGACGTGTGTGGGAGCTTGTTGGGCTACTCTTGGTAGATGGGGGAAATGTGGGTTCTAGCGGGCCCGTATCACCTTCTCAGCCGACCGTTATGGCCATTTCCCAGTTTGTTCACTAGTTACTATTTCTTATGCTTTCTCTACAGGTGTACAAGAAGGAAGAAGTAATGCCCTTACTCAAAAAAGGTGGAGCTTGCTTCTGGTGCCGTCGTCAGATGAAGAGAGAGAATACGACGATGCGGTTCTTAGTTCTCGTAAAGCTCGTTGGATTGTGTCTGGGGCCAGGCTTCTTGGTAGTATCAGGGATATTCTTGGCAGTCAATTTTATGTACTTAAGCAGAGAAAGGTGGTGGTGGTGCTCAGTTGTCTTGGGCCTCACCTTCTTGATCCGCTGGTTCGCCCTTGGTTAATCCTTGTTCTGACTTTGTATTTGTAGGTGCACCCATTTCTCCTGGGGGTTCTCTTCAATGTGCGAAGCCTTCCCTGATTAATGAAGCAGGGATTTATCTCACTCACCGACTTTTGAGGCTTATGATCTGGGCTGGGAGATTATTAGAGATTCCTTGTTATCGGAAGACACTATTGCCTATGAGTGGAGTAGGTGCGTACATCCTCCAGCCACGATAAGTTTTCTTGTAGGTCAACCAAGTGCTCACATGGCTGATGACCTTAGTTACGCCGCAGCCCAAACCTTTGCCCTTATGGTAGCTGCCACTGACCAGGTTCGCCTAGCCAGTGCAAGTCAGGGGAAATTGAAAGTACTACAGGGTGCCTTGGCAAACACAAAGGAAGAGGTTTGTGATTCCGAGGCGGAGCGTCGAGTTCTTGCTGAGCAGAACAACATTTTGGATTGCAAGAAAGCCGCTTAAGACGATCAAATGGCTTCTTCGCGGGACCGATAAGAGCGACTTGAGGACCAAGTGAGTTCTCTCACTCAAGAGAAGGATTTGTTGGTGAGTAGACTAGCAAAGTGCCAATGCCAATTAGCTATAGCTCGTGTTGAAGGTGTCGTTGCTTGAGGTGGTTTGCAATGGGTGTTGCAGAAGGGGGTGGTTCGTGTGATTGACAGGGTCATCGAGAGCGCTGAGTTTGCCAAATGTGTTTAGGATGTTTGTGAGGCTTGTGAAGCCATTGGGTTTGAAAAGGTAAGGCAGTTGGATGGTTGCACCACATCTTCCGGTAAATCTGAAGTTCCGGGTCCTGGCCAAGTGGTGATCAGGGCCAAGGAGGTCAACACTGCCCTTACATCTATTGCCGAGATGGATTTTGTTGGCCTCTTCCGTTTAGGAGAGTTAGATTATGATGGATTTTGTCATTTTTGTGGCAAACTAAGTCTGGGAGGTTCTTCATCGGACTCCAAGGGTTGACTTGTATAGGCTCCTTGTTGTTCATCTTTCTGTGTACTATGTGTATAGTGTAAAATATTAGTTGCTAATAACCATGGACTGTGTTTTTTGTTTTGTATTTGGTATAGAAGTGTTCTCTTCCCTTTATTTTTTTTGTACGTATGCACATGCTTTGAGCTGTAATTCGTTTTTGCACGTTCCCTTGTTCTAGGATATGCGCTAATCTGGTAACGTGTGCTTCAGATGTTGCATAGCTGCTACTGAGCTATGTTCCTCAAAATTTTACGTTTAATTAGGCTTATGATATTAAGTTGTGAAATAATAGTCAATGTTGTTGACTATGTTGTATGATGTAGCTACCAATACATTGGCTGAGATCATCATCTCAAGGCCTTTACTGTTCAATTTTTAGGTGGAAAGGTTATGAACCTTTTACGACCCTTCGTTTTGTGCCATTTACACAATCTCAGCTCTGAGATGTTATTAGGCATATTGTAGGTAAATATTATGACTCTTTTAACACCTACGACTGCATTCTTGAATAGATTTTGCTCAAGTAACATAGGTAATCAACCGTTGTTGTGTTATCTCGTAGAATGGATGGGTCAAGATTGCCGAAGAATCTTGATTGAATGACTTCCCATGATATCACAATACAAAACAGGATAGATATCATTAGTTACATTCGGGAGGGAGTCCCGGGATGAAGCTCCGACGATCTAGTTAGTGTGAGATCTAAGAGAGATGGTAAGTGATTACAGAAAATAGAGAATTCCATCCCCTCCTTCGTGAGGAAGAAGGGTCCATTCATACGTATATCAAAGGCGTGTCTCCCAAGCATGTAGCAGGAACTAGGATCAACCGAGGGCGAGCTAGTAAACAGAGAAGGCGATGTTTTTAAAAAAATGGGGACCACCACTATCTCTTTCTGCCTGGGCACAGAAAAATTATCACCAAGAACATCTGTGATAACACCAAGAAGCTTAGGTATGGACACCATGTTGCACATCTTATCAGGACGAAGGCCCATTTCATCAGATTCGGTCTCTTCGTTTGACGACAGCACCACACGCAAACTACGTTTTTTTCCGGATAGGAGCATTACTTTTTCCTACTTCAACCACCACATGAATATCAACATAAGCAGAGGCCGAAAAATGAGCTGGGAAAATGGCCCGAACAACCGGTTGGGAAGGTGAGGCAGGTCTGCTAGAACCAGAATTTTCACCTTCTGCTGATAACAGTTCAGCGAGTTCCCACATACGTTTTTCAAATATGGGAGGGGGAAAAGTCTCCAAAAGGTGAACCTCACGGTGACAAAGCTTACCCTGATAGTGACTACACATGGCCATCTCCAGGGAAATCTTGGCTTCGGCAACTGCGAACATAAACACCAAGAATGAGAAGTCACAAGCAAATAAAATACCCTGTTCTTATTTTTTTTAAAAGTGGGAGAGAAGGAGATGAGCGAATACCACATCTCACGACAAATAACTACGCCATCTTCCTACGCGGCCACCAGGCGGCACTCATACCGGCTGCGACAAGGATGAAATCTTCTCGATTCTCCGCAATGACAGTAATGTTTCTCAACCGTTTGCCAAGAGTTAGGTTATCCCCGAATAGCTTGGGAAGACGGTCAGGAAAGTCTCAGGTTTTATGAAAACCATGCCCCACAAGCTTTCGGTTGATCCAGAGCCATTTCGTCTGCCAATTTTTCTTCTAAGTATCTTGTTCGGAGATCAACTGGCGAATGCCCTGCCTTTTCGCCAGCATGTAGACGCTGGAGTTCGTAGACGCACAAAAGAAGTAACTGAAAACCCAAAAAGTGGGTATGTAACCAAGAGATTGATAGATTAGTTCGAAGCCTATGATCTTGTTAACGACACTTGGGGTTAATCTGTCAACGGAAAATCCATAGTAGAGATGGAAAAAAAAACCCGTATCCAATGAGTACCTGAAACCCTAACCCGAATTGACCGGGGATGGGGACGGGGATGGGTATTACTCGAATACAAAAAGCGGGGATGTGGATGGGGATGGTTCTACCTGTCGGGTACCCCCGTACCCGAAACCGGCCCCGATGGGTCCCCGATATATATATATATATATATATATATATATATATATATATATATATATATATATATATATATATATATATATATATATATATATATATATATATATATATATATATAGTATTATTTATGTTTTTATTTTTAATAATGCATAAGTAAATGTTGAGTAGACAAAGTAAGGTTTTTCAACAATCAAACGTATAGTTTCAGGGAGACTTTTATGTCTTTTTGTTAAATGATTTAATTTGTAAGCTTGAATGTTATTCTTCGTGTTTGAAGACATTTAGTGATTATAGTGTTTTATATTAGTTATGTTAGTTTTTGTTTTGTTGGTTAATATATAATTAGGAGTTATTTTTCATAAATGCTCAAAACTTTATAACGGGGAAAAATCCCCGATTACCGATTGGACATCCCGATACCCATTGGGTATAGGGATGGGGATAGAGTTTTAATCCCCGATGGGTATAGGCCGGGGATGAGGATTCGTTATGGGGATGTGGAACATGAAACCCGGTATACCCGTACACAATGTCATTCCTAATCCGTAGTGATGCATGATCATATCAAACAAGTCAGATGTTGGCAGGCGTAACCCCGCTTCGAACAGAGGAACAGAACCCACACTTTCCGTTGAGGACAGTCATAGATCGATTATCCTTTCGCTGAAATCATCACACAATGCTTCGATAAGAAACCGAATCATTCTTGCAGAAGTTGGAATTCCTCTATGGTAGGGACTCTGCCATAACGATCCATTGTCAAGAACGGATGACTGATAATTTTTTTTTTTTTTTTGCAAAATGCTACAACGAAAGCAAGGAAAGGGGGCAAAGTTGAAAGGCCTTGGGTAAAGGGGGGGGGATTTAAAAGACAAAATCGGCATCAAGAACCGTCTCGTGATAGATCTGACACATATCGACGACGCTATCCAAAAACTGTCGAATGCTAAAGATAATCTCAGACATACAATGTGTTGCAATATAGGCTCGAACGGCGACACTACCAAGCCAACGTGTATGCCTACAAACCTAAGGGACTTGTTAACGAATCCGTCACTAATAATGTTAAAAAAACAAGAAGTCAAACTAGCGCCAAGCCTGGCTTGGTTAAGAATCTGGTCGTATCCAGTCTAAGGCCAAGGTCAGGCCTCCGCCAATACGGATCCATTGGTATGGTGGTTAAGGGTTGAACTTCACCATTCTCTCTTCTCCCATAAGAAATACCCGGACAAACATGGAACCAATTAGAGAGTTCCACTTGCCCATCTGACGACATCCACAATAATCATAATATAGAAGATTCTCCGCTAGCCAATGAGGCGACAAGACATAAAGACGTGATGAAGGATCCTTTAATACGGATCCGCCATGTCACGTCTCACGAGGTAAGGCTCAACAGAATTAGTTAGAAGTCACTCGCCTCTCAAATAGGTATAAAAGGACCCTGCTTCCTCACGGAGAAGAGGATGAACTCTTTTTCTCTCAGAATTACCAAATCTTCTCTCAGAACCAATTCTAACTTGATTGTCGGAGCTTCGTCCCAGGAATATCTCCTAGACATCGACTAATGATCATCTTTTTCCTTTGTACTTTGATATCAGGAGAAAGAACCAACACAACACTCACCCTTAGTCTCAATCTAACCATCTCCGACATATCACAATATATATATATATATATATATATATATATATATATATATATACATATATATATATATATATACATATATATATATATATATATATATATATATATATATGTTGTGAAAATCGCTCGGCGGTCGACCGACGTTAAGCAATTAATTGGAGTAGATGAGGATTAATCGAAGATTAATCGGGTATGCTAAATTATTAAAAAATTAATAAATCCAAAAAATAAGTATTTGAAAATTTAAAAATTTTAGTATAATATTTTAAAATTTGAAAACTTAAATGTAACACCGTAAATTTCAAAACAAATTTTTTTCAATTTTTATAAAACATAATTCCATCAATATTCATAAAAACAGCCATTTTAATTATCCAAACAAGACAATACAAAATCCCAAGATCATAATATCAAGCTCCGAACGTGTGTGTGTACGGATCAAGCCGGCGCCTTCCCGCGGTCGTCACTAGTACCTGAAACGATAACATCAAACACTGTAAGCACAAGGCTTAGTGAGTTCCCCAAAATACCACATACAACATATATTAGCCACTCTAGGCTATAACTCTGTGGGTCCGTGCACCCAAACTCTGTGAACCCTCAGGTTCTAGCTCTGATAGACATGCACCACATAAATCACATAGAAATAATGCAGTACAACACATAACATACATAGCATACAAATACTCTATCACATAACTCTGGTTACCCACTCAAGGTAAATTATAGTGAGAAGACTCACCTCGCGTATCTCGGTATCTCACGAATCCTGGAAATCCCTCGTGCTCGATTCTCCGAGCTCTAATCCTCCTATAACATTATATGCTTCTAATTAACACTTTATATCTCTAGGGTTGACTATCAATAAAGAGTCAACACTGGTCAACTCTAGTCAACGGTCAACGGTCAACTCTGACCGGACTCGGCGAGTACCAAGGCCACTCGACGAGTCTGGGCGTATACACCAATTTCCCTGAAATCCTCCCTTGACACGTCGAGCATTCACTCAACTCGACGAGTTCCACCTGGCATGAGTTGTGGGGCCACCACGACTCAACTCGCCGAGTCTCAAAACAACTCGGCGAGTCCAGTTTGACTCAATCCACCGGTCCATTCTGACTCCCCCTTGACTCACTGAGTCCACCCTCCCCAACTCGGCAAGACCACTCACTGTGTGGTCGGGCAACATTCATGCTACTCGCCGAGTCTGTTCTTCGGACTCGGCGAGTCCGTGCCATGCACTGACTCAATCTTGCTCTAAAGGTCAGATCCAGTCCATTAATCCATAGATCCAGTCCCTCCAAGCTCATTTAGCACGTAAAGTTACAATCTTGATGCACATACAACCTCTATATGACCATATATGACGTTTTTGACTCATTTACTACAACACAAGGTCATGGACTCCATTGTCATACATAAAGCTTGATGAGTGAGACTCTCTGGACCTCTATGGGTTCAGATCCATAACCTCAACTCAAGGAGGGAACCAATGGGCACCAAATCATCCCATAAATGACCATCATAAGCCCTAAATTGCATAATGCTTCACCAAACAGAAAATAGTCCGAGATCATACCTCTAGAGTGATGATCTAAGCTCCAAATCCACGAAATAGCAACCTCCTTTGCTTCCTCTTGCCTAGAGTCTCCTTCTTCTTGCTAAATAACACACATAAGGTCAAGAAATGCTCCTTTCTCTTCACAAATCGCTCAAGAACACAAGGGTCTCTCACTGAGGGTTGGGTGAGCACAAATGACGGCCATAAGGCCCTTTAAATAGTCCTCAAACCCGAAAATTTAGGGTTTCATTACACAGCGCAGACTCGCCGAGTCCATATCCTGGACTCGCCGAGTCCAGGCGCGCTCCATTGCCCAAATCCGCGTCCCTACTCGGCGAGTCTGAGCTCCAACTCGCCGAGTCCCCCTCACAATACCACAAAATTAAATTTACAAGATACCTGGTAAAAATCCGGATGTTACAACTCTCCCCCACTAGAACTAGACTTCGCCCTTGAAGTCTCGCTCTAAAACAGCTCCGGATGCTGCTCCCACATCATACCCTCCGGCTCCCCGGTCATTTCTGATCCCCTCCGATGTTGCCACTGAACCAATACCAGAGGTACCTCCTTGTTCCTCAAAATCTTGATCTTCCGATCCCTAATAGCCACTGGTCTCTCAGCATAATTCAGGCTTGCATCCACCTGAATATCCTCAAATGGAACCACTGCCGACTCATCGGCTATACATTTCCTCAACTGCGATACATGAAAAGTGTTGTGAATCTGCCCCAACTCTGCTGGTAACTCCAGCCGATAGGCTACCCGGCCTACCCTTGCAATCACACGAAACGGACCTATAAACCGGGGCCCCAATTTGCCCCTCTTCCTGAACCGGATCACTCCTTTCCAAGGAGAAACCTTCGGGAGAACGAAGTCGCCGACCTGGAATTCCAGCTCGGACCGGCGTCTATCTGCATAACTCTTTTGTCGGCTCTGAGCGGTCAATAACCTCTGTCTGACCAGCTGAATCTGCTCTGTCGTCTGATTCACGATCTCTGTACTGCCCATCACCCTTTGCCCAACCTCTCCCCAACAAATGGGAGTCCGACACCTCCTACCATACAACAGCTCAAAGGGCGGCATACCGATGCTTG